CTTTTCTTTACCTCTTTCTCCATGACTTGCTGGGTGACTGGCCCCTGGTGTCCTCTTCTTTCTTGTTTCTCCTTCTATTTATTCCCTCTGCCTGCCAGCCCCACCTATTCTTGCTCCTGCCTCGCTATTGGCCATTCAGTTCTTTATTAGAACAATCAGGTGTTTTAGTCAGGCAAAGAATCACAGCTTCACAGAATTAAACAACTGCAGCATAAACAAAAGTTACACACCTTAAAATAATATTCCCCAGAAAAAAATCCAATGGAAAAACAAAAGAAAACAATTCTGGCAATATCTTTGCTGAGTAAACCTCCCATCTGTCTGAGTAGCCAGACTTGCAGTCTTCTGCCTCTGTTTAAATTGTTCAAAGTATAACTAGGAGCCAGGGCCCTGAAAGAGGTTTAAGGATGACAGAGTATGGGAAATGCATAAGTCTAAGGTGAATATGAGCTAGCAAAAATTTATTTGTGGCCAGCTCCTCTTTGGGTATCAGCCACAGGCATTAATTAATTAATTAATTGCATTGCAATTAATACATTGCATTACATTAAAGAGTTTTTTGCCTTCTTAACCTTTGAGTGTGTGGAGTGATTTATCACTGGGAAGGCATTTGAGGATCCCAACCTCTTGTGTTATAAGTAAGAAAACAGAGGGAAACAATGTTGCTAAATGGGTACTTTCCACCTTATAATTGTGGTGTCAGTAATAGGATCCAACTCAGCTCAGAAGCCCAGGGAGGCTTTATTTCTGGTCAATGAGGAGAGAGAAAGAGGTTAACTTGGTATCAACTTTTCTGCCCTTTGGGGTTAAGGATGACATAGGCACAGAGCAAAAGAAATGGAGGTACTTATCAGGTGATGGGGCATGTTTGTTGTTTACGCAAGAGGCATTCTAGAGATGCTACAGGTTGCATCACCATGCTGGCTGTGTCAAGTCAGTTAGCCTGCCTAAGTAGAAACCTCTGGACGTAGGCTTCCTATCCTTAGAGATAAGCAGCTGGGCCAAGTGAAAAGTGAAAACAAAAACAAACAAAACACTGGGGTAGAATAACAGGGAGTTAGCTGAGTTTGTCCCATGGGACAGGCAAAGAAGTGGTAGACTAAAAAAGATAACAGACCCAATTCCAGGAAGGGCAGAACACTGAGAGGCAGGCAGAGAGAATAAAGGGCACAGCGTTTTTATTGAGGTGAGCTGATAACCCCATCAGCATGGGAAGGGGACACCCACAGTTCGTCCAATGTGAGGCTCCAGGTTAGGCATTTTATAAGCCCCTGAGTCCTCCCACTTTTCTTATCATGCTCAATTGGCAGATGTTTGTCCCTGAACAGACTTTTTTTAAAAAAAAATTTTAATTAATTTATTTTTGAAACAGAGTTTCTCTGTTGCTTTGGAAACTGTCCTGGAACTAGCTGTTGTAGATCAGGCTGGCCTCGAGCTCACAGAGATCTGCCTGCCTCTGCCTCCTGAGTGCTGGGATTAAAGGCGTGCGCCACCACCACCCGGCTCCTGAACAGGCCTTTCATTCCTACTATTTTCATCATGAGGAAGATTCAGGAAGTTGGGCCTGCTTCTCTGTCTGGATCTTCTACCTTCCCCCACAGTGACTAACTGTAGCTACTTCAGAGCAAAGCACCAGACAGGGCAGCACCATGCCTGCCTAGCAGCTTCCATGATGCTCAGGGACCTTCCCTCTACCTGTGATTCTGGCTGCGTTCTGGGCTTGGCTGAGCTCCAGAGAAAGGTATACGTTCAAGGCCAACTCTTCTGAGAGGACTAATCTCAGAGCAATGTCAGTGCCATAATGATCCTCAACATTTATAAGACAGGGTTTTTGAAGGCATTCATAGTAGGAATAAGTGTTTTTCTGGGAACAAGTGAGAAGGAAGTTGGTTTAAGCCTTGAGCCTTCCTCTGCCATTAACTTGGAGCACAGCTAACACTGTGATCAAGACTGAACAGGGACTCATCCCAGATGCTGTGTCTCTCCTTAATGCTGGTGCCTTCTCTTTACCCATCCTCAACTACATTCCATGTCCTGAATCCTGAGCCATTGTTATTCTCAATTCCTGTAGATTCAGATGGAGGCAAGACAGATAGATGGGGGAGAATCTGAGTCACAGGAAGATGCAGCTGAGTTGAGTCCGTGGTGGAAACCTCAGACTGCTCACCTGGCAACATCAAGTTATATCTTGAGCTGAAGCTGTTATGGGACTGGGGTTGTTCAGAGATTCACCAGTCTAACAGTGAATACATTTAACAAAGAAAAGGATTTATTCAGATACTGGTGTCAGGTACTCATGGTGCCAGGATTGTAGTCAAGCACTCTCAAGAGTTGTATATTAGTCGGGGGTTTAAAAAGGCAAAATGTGCAAGGCTACCTGTAATGGTCTGTCCTGTCCCTTTAAGAGACAAGCCCTGTCCATTCCCTCCCCTATCCTCTGAGACAAGCAGATCTTCCTTCAGCTTCCAGCCTGAGCTCCTGAGACCCCAGGCCTTAATGCCCTACTTACAGATTCCTACACTTGTCCATCTTTGCTCAAAAACATGGCCCTGACCAAGCCAAGATGGCTAGGGTACATGCTCCTTTCTCTCTCTCTCTCTCTCTCTCTCTCTCTCTCTCTCTCTCTCTCTCTCTCTCTCTCTTTCTCTCTATCTAACAAACACCCGGGCCCCCTATGTCTATTTCTTCTTCTTTCATAAAGCTATTCCAATATATTACCGAGTCTTATAATCTCACCTTTCATGATATGATGGGGTAGTCTTCTGTTTTGTGTTAATTTCATTGGTTAAATAAAGAGACTGCCTTAGCCCTTTAGTAGGACAGAAAATTAGGTAGGTGGGGTAGACTGAACAGAATGCTGGGAGAAAGAAGCCGAGTCAGTGAGTCGCCATGATTCTCCCACTCCAGACAGACACAGGTTAAGATCTTCCCTGGTAAGCCACCTCATGGGCTACACACATTATTAGAAATGGGTTAGATCAATATATAAGAGCTAGCCAATAAGAGGTTAAAACTAATGGGCCAGGCAGTGTTTAAAAGAATACAGTTTCCATGTAATTATTTCGGATAAAGCTAACCATGTGGGCAGCTGGGTGCAGGGGACACAGCCCTGCTGCTCCTATTACAACAATGATATTTATATGATCCTATGTAATAACCTATTTCATGAAGAGCACAGGCAAGTTTGGGAGCCAGACTACATGCAGATGAGGTTCAATAAACTCAGGCAACACACCCTCGGGGGCAGAGGCAGTTCCTGAGCAGGAACCACACTAGGATTATAACACTCCAGGTGGAATTTTAGCTAGGGACTGGTTTTTGACTTGCCTTCTGGCAGGTCTCCGCAAGGCTGCCCTCAAGCCAGTAAACTATAATAAGCTCTCAGAGGTTATTCAGGATATGAAGGAAAATCCTTCTGTGTTTTTGGAGCACCTCACTAAAGCCCTGTTACAATATACTAACTTAGATCCAGAAACCATGGAAGGCAGACAGTTACTCATGGCTCATTTTTTTCTCAGTGCTACTCATACATTAAGGTTAAACTTAGACGTTTCGAGAAAGGCCCCTTGACCCTGCAGGCAGAGTCTTAGAGTTGGCTTTTCAGGTGTACCATGTGAGGAATGACAAAGTCCGTAATCATCACTGTCATGTGCTTGCCACGGACTCCTGACTGGCTGAGGTGACAGACTGCCCAATCCATGCTGACTGTGCCATCCCCTTGACCCCCGGGACTTGAGAACCGACAGGCCCATGTTTCAAACGTGGTAGAACTGGTCACTGGGCCTGAGCATGCCCTAATCCTCATTTTGGTCCCATGAGACCTTGTCCTAGATGCCATAGGGAAGGACATTGGGCAGTCGATTGTCCTCATTCACATTGTGGCACGGAGACATCAAACCCAGAAACTTCCAAAATTGATCTTCTAGGTCTGGCCATAGATGGGTGAGGCTTCCCGGGCTCCCTTGACCTGACCACAACCATCATTTGTAACAGGGAGCCATGGGTAAACATCACGGTATCAGGACAGTCTGTCTTCTCTTGGACACTGGAGCCACATACTCGGTACTATGGGAATTCTGTGGGCCTACCTCTCCTTCTAGTTTTCCTGTTGTCAGCGTAGGGGGACAGCTTTATCTATCTCAGCAGACTCTACTGCTTAACTGTGTTTTTAGGGGTATTTATCTCCCTCATTCATTTTTAGTCATGCCAACCTGCCTGTTACCACTTCTGGGAAGAGATTTTTTTTAAAGCAAAAGTCGGAGCTTCTGTTTCGTTTGCTCCTTCCATTCACCTTACCCCAGACTCACCAACAGCTCCCTTCCTCCTCCTCTAGCCTCCCAGCCTCCCAGCTCCCAGCTCTGTGTCTTTTTCTCTGCCAGCCTCTTAGGTGGAACCCCAGTCTGGGACACCTCAAGCCCCTCTGTTGATAAACACCATTCCCCCTTCATTATCCAATTACAAGACCCCAAACTCCCCAAATTTTTATGATAAACAAAAGGGTGGAATGTTATGATTTTAGCCAAACCAGCATGGCTGACACTTCCAGGTTTCAGGGCCACACATGTGCGGATAAGCCCTCAGGCACCTATTCACCCTGGTGACCTTAAAAGGCCCTGTGTGACCCATGTGCAGCATGGTTGCATCACCTATGTATGACGCAGCTATGTTGGCTCTTGTGCACATGCATGAGGGTAGGGCTTACAGGTCTACCCCTCCTCCCAAGGCTCATATTGAAGATAGCTTGCAGTTTCTGGCAAACCACCTTGTTGTAGTTTCTGGCAAAACATCCTGTTTGTTCCTGTGCTCCCTCTGCTCCTGCTGGTAGTTAGCTATAGGACTGTTGTTTACTCCTTCATGGGCCTGGTAATTTCCTACCTGCCTGGGGGTGGAATTTCCATTGTGCAGTAGTTAGGTATATAAGGTTTTCTCTAAGCTTGAATAAATGACATTCAGCATTCTCTCTTCATGGATGACCCATGTCTCTTGTGTTTAATCTTCAGGCCCTTGCCTGACTCGTGAACTATCCCATAGCACAGGCATTACAGTTGGAGGCCCACAGCGAGATCAGGACCCTTGAGAGATCGCCCTTGGAAGGCTGGCCAGCAGGTATGACTTTGATGGTGAGGGTGAATTGAAGATGGGTGCTAGTAATTCTGTTCCAGTATTGACAGGCCAATTGATTGATGGGCCAATTTGATAGTTCTTTTAGAGAAACAAGGCACCACTATTAAAACTAAGACATCACAAGAGCTCATTAAGACAGTTTTAGAGTTTAGTCCCTGGTTTCTACAAGCAGGGGGTTTAATACCCCTGACTGGGAACAGGTAAAAGCTGACCTTCAAAAGGTGTTAAAAGAGCAAGGGCCAGAAGAATTTCCCATAGCATTTTCACTATGGTGTTTAATCAAAGACACTCTTCTCAGTGATGGTGTAAAAGTAAAAGAACATTAGAGAAGTTGACCAAGACCTTTGAGGAGATTTAGGATGAAGAATTTGTGAAGCCTATTAAGAGTTTTGAGGAAGGAAAAGTTAAAAGTACTAAAAGAGATATAGAAGGAGAAGAAGAGACTTTAGAAAGGAGATTATACTGCTAAAAAAGAAGTTGGGAGCAGAAGAAAGCAAACAGAAATGTCTCCATGAGACCTCCCCTGCAGAATCCATTCCTTGCTGCTTCAAATCCTTTTGCTGTTGCCTCTGCCCCTATTTACTTAGAAGCAGAAATCTGAGAAATCCAAGATAGACTAGATAATCTAAGTAGAGAGAAGCAAATTTATCTAGTTGTGGAGATTATTGATCTGCAAGAACAGTGGATCAGGCAGCATAATCCTTTGGCCTTTAAAGACATTAAACAACTAAAAGAAGCAATTATGGCCATATGGAACAGCAAGGAAGAGAAAAAGATGTGGAGGTTTCCCAAGATCAAATTCTTGGTGTAGGAGTGTATGCTGATCCGCAGGTCCAAGCTTTTTATGACAAAGAATTATTGTCCCTATGCCACAAAGCAGCCTTGAATACTTGGGAAAGAATACAAGAACTAGGGAAAAGGATTGAATCATATACAAGGGTTAGGCAGGGACAGAGAGAACCCTTTACTGACTTTTTGCAAAGATTAATTAAGGCTCTGAACATAGGGGTAACAGACCCAGAAGCTAGATGAATAATTCTTAAATCTCTGGCTTTTGAAAATGCAAACATAGAATGCAAAAAGATAATTGGGGCTTTAAGGTCTAGATCAGCACCCATGGATGAATGGATTCAGCATACGATGAATGTTGAGACATTTGGATATAATGATGAATCTTGGGTAGAAGAAGTGATTTCCAAATTAATGAGGAGACATCAAATTGCCAAATGTTTTAATTGTGGTAAATTAGGACATCTGAAAAGGGATTTCGGGCAAGGAATTTCTAGGAATAATATCTCCTATGGGAATGACAAAAATAGGAGACCTCAGCCTTCAAGTATATGTAGGAGGTGTGGAAAAGGTCAACATTGGACCAATGAATGCAGGTCAACAACAGACAGACAAGGCAACCTGATACCATCGGGAAACTCCTTGAGGGACCTTTCACAGGCCTCCCAAGCCAAAAGTGGCCCAGTCATTCCTAGTTACAGTGGAGAACATGTCTCACCAAGAAAATTTAAAAATCCAATGCCTGCTGTAAAAGGCAATACTGGTCTGAATGATGGGTTAAGTGTGGAAGATGAGTCAAAATCCAGTAAGACAGAGGAAACATATATTTTGGCAGACTTCTATTAACGATCAAAGACCAAAGCTAACAGTTTGTATAAATGGCATTTTTATTGAAGGCTTATTAGACACAGGTGTGGATGTAAGTATCATTACTCCAGAATCTTGGCATCTAAATTGGCCTCTTCAAGAGGTTGATGTCAGTTCTTGGGAATTGGAACCCTATCTCAAGTAAAACAAAGCACAAGATTGTTTGAATGCATAGGACCTGAAGGGCAAAGGAAGACTAATGATGTGGGAGTGTCATATATCAATCTGTTGATTTCATTGGTTAAGTAATAAACCAACTGCTTGGCCTCATAGCTTAGAACATAGGTGGGTGGAATAAACAGAATAGGATGCTGGGCGGAAGAGGAAGTGAGGTCAGACTCTGCTCTGATTCCAGAGGGACCGGACAGGGGAAGCCATGCTCCGCTCTCCCAGGCAACTCCAACCCAGGATGGATGGAGGCTAGAATCTTCCCGGTAAGCGCACCTTGGGGTGCTTACACACATCATTAGAAATGGGCTAGTCCAGGTGCGAGATTAGCCTGTAAGGGCTAGAGTTCATGGGCCAAGCAGTGTTTAATTGAATACAGTTTGTGTGTTGTTATTTCGGGCATAAGCTAGCCAAGCGGCCGGGGTGTTGGGGACACAGCCCCGCCACTCCTATTTCAACAGACTAAGACCATATATAGCCAATATTGCAGTGAATTTGTGAGTTGTGACCTATTGCAACAATGGAATACCCAAATTAACATTCCTGCAGCCCCCAAAACTTATGTTTCTGAGAAAAATGTTAGAAGATATTATAGACTATGGACACCAGCCATTTGGGCTGTCCAAGAACACAAAGTAATTGATAAACCTTCAGAGGTACCAACAAACCCTACCTTTAAAATGGCTAACTGAGAAACCAATATGGGTTAAGCAGTGGCCTCTAGCTGAGGAGAAGTTGCAGGCTTTAGAACAGCGGGTATAAGAGCAATTAGATACTCAACATATAGAAGAATCTCCTAGCCCTTGGAATTCTCCTGTATTTGTTGTTAAAAAGAAATCTGGAAAATGGAGAATGGTGACAAATCTAAGGGCTATCAACAAGGTTATTTAACCTATGGCCCTCTACAATATGGAATTCCTCTGCCTTCTCTGTTACCAAGGGATGGCCTCTCATAATTATTGATTTAAAGGATTGTTTCTTCACTATACCTTTAGAAGAAAAGAATAGAGAAAAGTTTGCCTTCACAGTGCCTACTTATAATAATTCTCAGCCTAGTAGAAGATGTCAATAGACTATCCTTCCACAGGGAATGCTCAATATCCCCACCCTGTGCCAATACTTTGTCAGCCAGCTATTGGAAATAATTCATAAGGAATTTCCTAAGTCAATAATTTACCATTACATGGGTGACATTTCGTTATCTGATTCAAATATAGAGACTTTAGAAAGGATGTTTGAAGAAGTAAAAAAAAGTTTTCCCTAAATGGGGATTACAAATTGCTCCTGAAAAGAGTCAAAGAGGAGATTCTGTTAATTACCTAGGTTATAGAATGGGTTTATAGAAAATTAGAACACAAAAGGCACAAATTAGGAGAGACTGGTTAAGGACTCTTAATGACTTTCAAAGATTATTAGGAGACATTTCCAGTCTACAACAAGCTGTTGGGATAACACCTGATCTAATAATTCATTAAAACAAAACCTTAGATGGTGATAAAGATTTGAATAGTCCCAGAGAATTAACAGCTGAAGCAGAAAAAGAACTGACAATGGTTGAGGAAAAATTACAGGAGGCACATGTGGACAGGGTGAATCCAAATTTTAGTTGTATCCTAGTCATATTGCCTTTCAGAATTTCTCCTAAGGGAATTTTAATGCAGAGGGAAGATATTATTTTAGAATGGATCTTTATACCACATAAATAAAGTAAAAAATTAAAAACTTATGTGGAAAAGTCTCTGAATTAATTATAAAAGATAAATTGAGACTTCGTCAATTAGCAGGTATAGACCCAGCAGAAGTTATAGTGCCTTTCACTACTGATGAAATAAAAAAAGTTATGGGAAGACAATGAAACATGGCAAAGAGGTTGTGCTAATTTTTTGGGAGAAATTAATAGCAGCTATTCCAAAGTGATAGACTTAACTTCATAAAGAGAACTTCTTGGCTTCTTCCTCGACTTGTACATGATGCTACAATAACTGGAGCCCGTATATTTTATACTGATGCAAATAAATCAGGGAAGGCAGGTTACAAATCAGAAGAATTGAGTAAGGTGGAAAAAAGCCCTTATATTTCTGTCCAGAAGGTAGAACTATATGCCATTTTTATGGTGCTAAGGGATTTTAAAGAATCTCTTAATATAGTTAGTGATTCACAGTATGCGGAAAGAGTTATCTTGCATATTGAAACTTCTGAATTTATACCAGATGATACAGAATTGATTCCATCGTTTATCCAGGTGCAAGACATAATCAGAAATAGGCTTTCTCCTATATACATAACACACATCTAATCCCATATGGGTCTGCCAGGTCCTCTAGCACAAGGTAATGCAGAAGTTGATCAATTATTAATTGGAAGTGTGTTGCAGGCCTCTGAATTTTGTATAAAACATCATGTCAATAGCAAAGGTTTAAAAAAATAGTTTTCTATTACATGGCAACAAGCTAAGGAGATTATAAAGAGATGTCCTACTTGCTCTTTCTATAACCAAACACCATTGCCTGCAAGTAGTAACCCAAAGGGCATTCAAAGAAATGAAATCTGGCAGATGGATGTGTTCCATTTTATGGAATTTGGTAAATTAAAATATGTACACCACACCATAGACACATATACAGATTTTCAATGGGCAACTGCCTTGAATTCAGAAAAGGCTGATTCAGTAATCACACATTTATTGGAAATTATGGTCATCATGGGTATACCTGCACAAATAAAGAGAGACGATGGTGTAGCATATGTATCTAAAAAAATGAAATGCTTTTTTGCTTATTATAATATAAAGCACATTACAGGCATACCAAATAATCCTACAGGTCAGGCAGTTATAGAAAGGTCAAATAGTACTATAAAGGATATGCTGAACAGACAGAAAGGGATGGAAAATACCCCCCAAAATAGATTGCATATTGCTTTATTAACCTTGAATTTTCTAAACTCTAATGAGAAAGGAACAACAGAAGCAGAGAAGCATTAGATAATGTAAAAAAAAAAACAACTTCTGCATTCAATCAACCAGTATATTTCAGGGATGTGTTGACCTCACAATGGAAACCAGGAGATATACAATGTTGCAGAAGGGGTTTTGCTCTTGTTTCCACAGGAGAAGAAAAATTATGGATACCATCAAAATTAATAAAGATTTGCTTTGA